GTATCAATTTTGTTGGCAAATATCATAAATTGGATATATATCGGCAAATATTTAACTACTAAATTTCAATTATCATTTGGCTCCGTTTCAGACCATTCGAAATTGTAACACGTAACAATTATCTGTCAGTCAGTCAGTCGACATTAAATAACGTCACATAAGGGACGCTTAACGTTGCAATTTGTACTGTCGTGACGTCAGTAAAACGAGTGCATGCCATGAAGCACGAAAAGAATTATGCACTATGCACGTTACGACACAACATGCCATATGAACTTCACAAGCAAGAAATAAGAATATTTGTTACTCTTAATTTTGGTTTTATTTACTCTTGAAAGAGAACACTTTCGGGAACCCTGCGCAAGTACTTCTAGTTCTCATATATATATATACTGTAACCGTATAGAAACAGAATATGTTTTCTTTGTGGCGTAGGGGATGGCAAAGCTACACAATAAGCTATCTGCGCTGTATCCACCACGGGTATTAAAATCCGGTTTTTAGTGTTACAAGCCTTCAGAGTTACTGCTAAGTGTTTGCGGACGAGCTAGATAACCTTAATCCCCAAAGTCAAAGAAGTTTAGGAGATGATAGGTAATTTTTTTAGGATCATAATTACTGAAGAAACACGGTAGTTTTCACCGATTTAATTGCTTTTTATTACGATAACAGTTATTTGTAAATTGTCATCAGTATTTTATTAGGCAGAATGAAAAGTCATTCTCCCTAATTTTATTTGCAACATAGTAATTAGTATAAAATTCAAATATTTTCCGTTTATGCTGTCAGTACACGAACGTGATTTTGACTTTGAGCCTTAGTTAAACAATAAAGTCCATAGTACCAGTTAGTAATGCAATATCTTGGTGCATGTGTAATATTACTATATTAATAGCTGTGCGTGCTTACTTAAAATTATTCAGGAACCAGAACTAGAACTACACAGGCTTGGTACCTAATGAAACTAGCACTCTTAGCATTATTTCGATTATACTAGACAGAGAATAAGTATGAAGGTTTTTAAGTTTTTGTTTTGTATTAACTCGTTACATTAGGCAAGTAGTTTATGTTGTTACAGTAGCAGTTAAGCAATTTCTAATGTTAAGACTAAAATTAGAGCCTAACTCTTAATAATTAGATATTATGAAGACTGAAGTTGAATAAACTAGCACTAGTAGTAGACTTGAGCAGAAAACTTGATGTTGAAAGTTGAAGAAAATGGGAGTTGTTGATGTCTCCATTACGCAGGCAGTATATTATTAATGATAATAATTAATTAAATAAATAGATATACTTTTCGAGTTTACAACTACAACTCAAGTTTATATTTCTATTATATAATTTTAAGGACCAAAGTTGGTTTTATACATATTCATATTAATATTATTATTAGCAATCAGCTGCTAATCAGTATAAATTGTATAATTTATACGGCTAAATTAAATAGTAAATTACTCTTACAAGTTACAACTTAAGCTATGTCTCAGTACTGAATACAGAATACTAGTCTTTAGATATTGTTTGAATTTTTTTAAATCCTCTAATTCAACGTTATATAAGTATTATAACTTATAAGTTAGAACTACTCAACTAGAGCTTAAATTAAAACTTTCCTTTAAAGTTTAAATTTAATGTATAACCTGGCTACATATAATAACAGATTTTCCATGTTTGGCTTCAAGTTCTAAAAAATGTGTTTTTTTCATTTACTTAAAATTTAACTTTGTCTTTCGTTATAACTCTTTAACCATAAATTTAGTCTAAACCAAGCAAGAGATATTAAGTAATTAACATTAAGAATTCAGAACTGTCAAACTTTATTACAATTTATCATAATAATAAATGTATAACATTTTGACAAAGTTTTGTCATCATCAGGTTCCTTCTCAAAACATTATACATTTGTTACTATGTTAATTTTGTAATAAAGTTTTCTTCATTACCCATTCAAGTCATCTTCAAGCTTTATTGTCTCAAAGTGGGTTCCGTGTCATCAAATCTCATTGTTGTTAGCTTTAATATCCTCAGCTTGAAAAGGATGTAACTCACATTGTATATATATAAAACCACTCCTCCCCCTCTATTTAGTACTCTATCCCTATTAAATAACATATAACACTGTATCCCAAAGAAATCCCTGTAATCAAAATTGTCTGCATTTAACCAGGTTTCAGTTACTCTCATTACATCAAAATCTACTGTTCTCTAAGGTCATCTGTTTTATTTCATATACTTCAAGCATTACAATAATAAAAGTTCAGCCTATCATTAAAACTACTAGTGTACCTTGTTCCTACACTATACTTTACCCTCAATCTATTTTCTTCATTATTATGATTTTCACCACTGTCTAGTTTTAGTTTAAAGCTGCCTCACTGATCTCTCAAGTACAACCATCCTACCTGCTTGTCCTTAAATATTAACCTAAGCCTATCATTCATCCTTAGTGACTAATTATACTTTTCCCCCAGCAATTAAAACTTGGCAGTATTCATGATAGAACATGACCATTTCCTTTAAATGATTTTATTAGTCCCTTGTACTTATCAGTTAGCTCATCTGATCTACCCTTCCCCACATCATTATCCCCTATGTGCATGCACTATGAAGACTGCATCACTGCTAGCATCCTCTACTATATCACTATTTCTTTCAGTTATATTCTTCACTTCTGCCTCTGGAGAGCATAATTTAATTGTTTTCCCTATTTACCCCATAGACTAACCTATCCATGTTCCATACTAAAGAATCACATATAATTATAACTTTGTTTGCATTTAATACAATAGAAAACATGAAACACCCTCATTTAACAAGACACTGTGCAAAAGTTCCATACACATTATGAAAACCAAATGTTAATATTAAAAAAATAAAACTATACATGTATGCAGTAAACAAACTGTACACAATTGTGTATAATGATAAACAAAAATGAAAGATTAACTGGATAATTACTTAAGTAAGAAACAACCTAGAAAATATATACATGTACAACACCATAATAATAACAAAAATTGGTGACAACAATAGGTAATAATAATAAAAAAATTGTAGGGCTGTGTTCAAAGGTTCATTCACTAGCCAGAAATTCAAACATAGTTTTAAAGATTTGAAAGTTGATAAAGCAACATTTAAGGTTCGAGTGTGAGGTTTTTTTCTCTTGTTAATTGAATATTTTGACAATGTATGGATAGTAATTACACATTAAATGTCATTACTTAAGCAAAAGTTGTTGTATTAAAATAACACACACAACCAGAACATTACAGGTAGAAGCTCTTTTCTGTGCATTGAAACAGACTGATGGTGAAGCACAAGGGAGCACGTTTTGCAGATGCATTGCTTCAATAAAATGTACTGAATATCTGATGTACAAGATGTAAGCAAAATGTTATGATAGATTAATTATGAAATATAAACTATAGGTTAACACTAGTAATTTTAATGTTTAAAAAAGAACCAGTTTAACACTACGCTTCCCCAAACCCCTCCCCTAAGGTATATGCTAATTAGTCCACAATGTTGCTTAAAATTTTTACTGATAATAGCACTCTCCCTTACAACTTTCTTTTTATAGTTGAAGGTCTGCATTTATGTTATGATCAAACTGTTAGTGTTAGTCTGTTTTACTATTAGGTATGTTTAATTAATCAAAAATGTTTTAAAAAGGCTATAACTGTTAACCTACTTGGAATGGTGACTGTTACATAAAGATTTCTTTTGCTTAAGTCAGCTGCAGTTCTTTTAATTGGCTGCAGTAGGGTGCTCTTGCAATGTAAGCTTACTGTAGCTATGTGACTATCCCATGTAACATCAAATACATGTACTTAAACAATGTGCATTTAAAAAAAAATACATACGTACACAAAACTTGAAGCTGGAGCCACTCAACTATAGGAGCTCTGACAGCATATCTTCTAACACAGCTGATGACTTGCAGTAGGACACAGTGGTCTGATGAATAATCTCTTGGGCTCCTGCAAAAGTCTTTTGAGTCTATGCCAGGTCCTCCCAGAGATAGTATCATTCTTCCCCCCAACTGCATAGGAGGCTCTCAATGCTTCAGCAGATGATCACCTTCATGGTTGTAGAACATCCAGACCTTTGTCCATTTGGCTGCCTATTCTTGGCAGTGCCATTTTCAAACCATGTTTTGCTATAGTGTAATTTGTTCTTTAATTTCAGTTGGGGGCCTTGTGGGTAGTTCAACTTCTCCATCTAGAGTCTCTTTGTCTTGGCAGGCTTGGCCATTGAAATTGATGCCCTATTTTGATGTTGGTTGATGCCATTTCCACCACTGGTAAGATGGTGGCCATTGTTACCTCTGGATTGATGCTCATTGGTTGACCTTCCCACTATTTAATGGTCTTCTTTGTAGATTTTAATTTTGGGAAGGTCTTGGTGGGTGGTGGCGATATTTTTCTATGAAACAGCTTATGCTGGAGCCTTTGAAATATTTTTCGTATCTCTCCAATTTGCATCATGTCTTGTAAAATTGGGCATTAGGGGTTTGCCAGCTGGACCCTCACTCCTTGGCTTGGCTGGCAAGATTATGGTTAGTTCGGATGGTTCTGACCTGTATGTCCATTGCATCATTGAGCAGTGTATCCTCATTTATTGGCTTGGTCGGTACAAAGACAAGACCAGCCCTATCAGTGTTCGATATAGTAGGGTATTCTGGAAGGTTGGGGAAATCTCTGAAAATAAATTTTTCCAAAATTTACTTTCCATTGCATTGCCTCTTCCAAGGTACAGTCAATTCATACAGTAATGTGACTGAAATGCCTCGAAAAACCATCCAGATCCTCCATGGTCATGCCTGTAGAAACATCACGGAGAGATGTGCTTCACCTCAACCACAATTATCTGTGGTTTTGGTGTAATCTCCCCCCTGTGACTTTTGATCTGGGCTTGGCTGAACTGTCCTATACATAGGGGCGTGAGATGGACTAGGCTGGTGCTGGAACCCTTAAACTCAGAAGAGTATTAGATCCTGACCTTTGAATTACAGAACAGCAAGTTACCAGAGGCAGCTTGCCCATTGACTTTTTATAACCCCAGATCACTTGATGATCTGTGGTTGCTCTTACAACATATTTTCTGTCACAGAGAGGTTCTTCACTGCTCCACACATCACTATCTTTACTGACTTGCATTCTGGGGAAATAGCTCTTGTTGGTGAACATTGTCCACCAAAGACACCTCCAGTTTCTCTCTTTTTAATTGTGGGTAGTATCAACCAGAGCTGTAGTTCTGCTCTGGCTGGTGAATGCTTTGAAGTTTTGTAAAGACTTCCACATTTGGTTTCTGACTTGCCAGGCTGCATACCATGATGATGACGCTCAGTCATCTGAGCTTCCTGTGTACTGAGGTTAAACCTCAGGAGGTGATTGTCCTGGGAACACCATATAATGGTAGTTCTTCTTCCCAGGTTCATAGCTACAGTAAGATATGGCAGTTGTGGACCTTTGCAATATCAGTGAAAGTTCTGATGCCATTTTCCTCAAAGTTTGGAGCCTTAAACCAATTACTAGAAATAAAAGATGCTTATCCATTTAAGGAAAAAAAACCTCTGCAATAACAATATACTTGATCATGGCACTTCATTTCTCTTCCCTCCCTGCTCTGTGGTAATCTCAGGTTAATTGATTTGGAGTAAACATATAGGAAATGCAAAATAAAGAGATCCAGATGACTATATCATAGATTAAAGGTCTGATTCCAATACAGTACTTCCGTCTTCTCACAAGATTAGCTTTTCCCATTTTGTGCTGCCCTCTATATGAGAACCCATTTGTTGGAATCAAAAATTCCAACATATCTTTCATGCAAATCATCATGCATCAGCTCTCCACCAATAGGAGAGCACTACAATCGGAAGCTTTTGGGGGGTACTTCTGTTCTTCCCTCACAACGGTCCCTCCTCCTTTTCAGTGTGGGATTCTACCTAATCTTGTGAGAAGAGGGAAGTCCTGTATCGGAAGTTATAATTTCTGATAAGGTACACTTCCCTCCTCTCACAAGATTAGCTTTTTCCATTTTGTGATGCTCTCTATATGCCAACTTTTTTCAGAAATGCATGCCACAAGCCTTCATCCTCCCTCTGTTGGAATCCAAAATTCTAACACTTTGGGTACTTTGCCAGCATCTGATGGCATATTTTCAGCCACGACGCGGGCGACCAGTCTGGGAGATTGAGTGTTTCTGTGTGCTTGGTAAAAACTAGAGGGATACCTTTATTAAATTTCTCAAAAGTTCTAGCTGAAAATATGATTAATATCATTCTTTGGGTTTCTCCCTTTAAATTTTCACCAGACTATTCTACTAATACTAATGAATTTTTGTTGATGAAAACAAACATTACTTGGTGACATTTATTATAGATTAGGAAAATACTAAGCATAACATTCTAAAATTTTTTTGAATGTTATCATTGTACATACCCTTTAAAAACATTTTCCCCTGTTTAAGTAAGAGGTGATGCATAACCAATCATAATCAGTAAGGTTGAGGAAAGTGGAATGTTTATGATTAGATACTAATGCTTCATTAAAAATCATTGTTAAAGAAAATAATGATTGTTGCAGAGAACTGGGACATCTGGCTTTGGTACAGTTTTACTAAATAAATAATTGCCTTTAAATTTCATGAGATAAAACTAGTAAGTATTCTTGTCACAAGTTGGATAGATGATATATAGTTCAGTACAAATTTGCTTCAGTCCTAGAAAAACAGAGTCAGTACAACATTTACTATTTGACAAGATACTAGATTACTTCTTTGCAAAGATTAAAGTGGTTCATAAAGTGGAACTTTTAAGTTTTACGAGAAATATTAAAAACAAAGTAATACAAAAGAATCTTAAATTATTTCTCATTCTATCATAAACTTTTATGTGAGAAGTTGTTGATATAAGTGGAAGTTTATAAAGAGCACATTAAAATTATTAATACATTTACATTTTACAGTATAGACTGAAAAAACTGTAAAATCACATGTTAAGCCTATGACCTGTGTGAAATATTGGATCAGGTCCTATGTGTCCAAGATTGATGCCAATATCAGGATTGGATTTATAGTCTGTATCTGTGTGTTTCACATGTCTGGTCATCCTTAAGATGTATATATACTAGTGGCATGTGTCAAGCTTCAAAACTTATTTTCAAATAAGTCACACATTTATCAGACTACAAAAAGCGGAATGTTGGCCCAAGGACCTTAAGTCAACTGTAAATCTCATCCACTTAGTATTTCTTCATCGATGTAAATCCTATAACAAACCTCCCTGCAACAAAAACAGGAAAGGCGAGGTTGAACCTAATAATAGTCATGAATAACAGAAATAAAAGCACTTTTCAAGTGATGCTAGGATATTTTATGGCAAAATAAAAATTATGAAGCAGTTAATATCAGGACATGACCTGAACTGATGGTCACCAATATTTCTTTTTACATCTCTGTGATTGACCTCATTTCAAGATACGTTGCACTCTCCATTACAAAGTCACTTGAATGTATTGCATATTTTCATAGGTAAACAAACTTACCAATCTGATCTTCTTAAAAACCCAATCAGAAAAGCATTGGGGGATTCTGTAGATCAGTATTGATGGCTGATAAGGAGAGTGGTCACAGGCTTAACATGTCCATGCTGAGAAATCAATCAGTTAAACAACTGTGTTTAAGTGCCATCTGATGATAGCCAGACTTTTTTCTTTTTTTCAGTGTTCTTGTCTCACTAGAGCTAGTCTTATTAAACAGGAGTCCTTTTTGTGTAAATGGGTTAGCATGTTACATGTTGTTAGATTGTTACTAGTCTATGTGTAGTAAATTCTTACAAATACAGTTAGATGAGCAAACTGTTGAGAAATCAACATTTTCTGTGAGCAAATAATGAAGAGTGAATATTAACTTCCTGTAACTGTTCCATTAAAGCAATCTTACCCTAAGTCATGTGTAGAACCAGGATTTAAGGTGGGATCTCACTCTCAATATACAAAAAGAAAAACTTTTACAAATATAAGAGTATAGTTGATAAGAAAATAACCTGATATAGATATTATAGGTTAAAATACTTAGTTTTAAAAGTTATTATAAAATGCAACATGAAATTAATTTTGAGTTTTGCTTATATTTTAAGTTTTATATGTAAGTTACCTCTATTAATTTAGTTTTATATAAAATACATATTAGATACATAATATATATTGCTTAGAAAATGTATAACCTTTTAAATATTATATACAGGAGTTGTAGGTTCAAAGATTTGTTTTATTAAACTTAATATATGAGATGATATCAAAACATTTTTATAACAATTATTCTTGCAGGACCCTGTATTTTCAACAAAAAAATGACAGGATTTTTCTTCTTTTAAAAAATATCTGACCATTATTATAAAAAATGCATAAAAAATAACATACTTAAAATGTATCAACAGTAATTGAGATCTGAGTATAGCTATAACTATGCAAAACAATGAATTATTTCTTGGGTAAATATTACACTTTATATGCATTGGTTGGATTTGTGCACCAATCAAAAGAGTACGAAGAGTACTCGCACTTGAAAGATTGAAACAAAGCTGTAAATGTCTTATGTATACATTTTAATATATTTTAAAGTGTAGTAATGGAAAGTTATACTATCATAGGGTACTCTTCATGAAAAAGTGAAAAAGATTTAGGTAAGTTGTAAAAACAGGGTACATTGCACTATTAAGATTTTTTAATTATTTTAACTGATCCATAGATGAAGTTCATCAGTAAAGCTTTATGTATTGATATAACATTAACCATTTTGAAATGTTACACATTTTTAAGGTAAAATTATCTAATTTTTAAATGTGTCCTTTTAGCATTATTGGACCTTTCCTTGTTAATAGAAATTGTTTTATTCCAAATTTCAGGCTTGGCTTTTGTGACCAAGAGAAACCAGAAGTTTTAGAACAGCACATGTAAGTGGGGTATTTGATACAAAGATAACATGTAAAACTATAATGTGAGTTTGATCATAAAATGATGATGTGTATTAGGTACTAAATAATATATATAAATTTCATTTTTCTATTTTAGCTTTATACAAAAACCCACCAGCATAGAGTTAAGGATGAAAATTCTTCTAATTCTCCTAGTCATCATAACGTCTACATTTGGCCAAAAACGTAATACCTTGTGTCCAGATTTGGAACATGAATGTCCATTTGGTATGCATTTTTGTGTTCATAAAGTTTTTGTAGTAATCCAGTAATGCAATTGGTTGAAAATGCATAAGGTTAGTATACCTATGACGTGAATCCAAAACTTATGGTAGGTATATTTCTTCTTTGCCATAGATAACAGCTAGGTACTAGTTCTTGCTACTTCACCTTCTGACATTCTCTATGTGCACATTGTTACTTTCAATTACAAAACATAAAACTGAATTATAGTCTTATTCTCTTACTTAGTTTTGGATTGGACAAAAACTGTAGTAATTTTAATTTATATATGTTGTGCTAACTTAAAAAAAAGATTAACCCTCTTGAGACGGGTCACAGGTGAAAGGCCAGGTCATCTCGTTTGTTAACTCGCATTCAAAATTTTATTGAACTACTATTTCATGACTTTATGTCAATAAGTTTGGTATCAAACTGTAGATTAAAATTCAAATTTTAGAACTATACATTACTCAATATGTTAATTTAATAGTAAATAATAAAAAAAACACATAAACATTGATTTTTGTGTGTCACATGGTATGTTGAATGCAGCACTGGTTCAAATTAGATGTTTGGGAAGTCAAAATACTAAATCTATAGTTTCATATGAATTAT